TGATGAACCAAAAATGAATGAATGAGGAGGTCTAGGAATCTCCTGCCTGCCTAACCCAGGTCTGGAAGATTCTCCTGTGCAGGTGTGGAGCCTCTCAGACTCCCCCACACTCCTTTGCTTGCTTACTTCTTGTTGTCAGGGTCCTTCTCATTGATCTTCTCCAGCACGTTGATTTCAAGTCGAGCTGCTTCCTTGTACTTTTCCACATTCTTAATGATCTTTAGGGCAACTCGAGCGCCACCCCTGTAGGTTGGCAGAAAAGGCTTTTGCTGGGTTCTCAAGAACATCTCAAATTGAAAAGGGCTGTCTGGGGATTAAGAAATCCTACCTTTTGCTAATTAGCAAAAAAACCCTCCAGATAACCCTCACTACCTCTTCATGCCTAAGAGGTGTGGAGTAGAGAAGGGGCTGACAATTACCTGCGATGGTCGACACATTGTACAACTCGGCCAAAGGTCCCCTCTCCCAAGGTGCTTACAATTTCATCTGAAACGAAAAAGAGCAGGGTCGGGGAGAGGGAGGGAGAGAAGAAGGGGAATGAGCTGAGTTGGAAGAAGAAAGGGCACAGCAACCTGGGGTGAGATGAAGGAAGGGGGAACAGATACAGATGGTCACAGGGGAAGAAAACCCCTGTGTGATTCCCACCACCTTTAACCCAGGGGCCATGAGAGCTGGGAGTGGACAGCAGAGGTCAATTCTCAACAGCAACTCAAACCACCCAGATAAACAACACCACTGAGAAAAGGCAAAAGAGGCTGTGACTTGGGTTGGCTCGGGACGTTAGGATGGCTATGGGACCATTACAGGCTATAGGATTGTTACGATTTGGCTTGTACATCGCTCTTGTAGCCAGTCCCCGACGTGGTAGATGAGGTGGCCCTCAGCGTCGTCCTCTACACTCTTGGCTCTCCGGCTGCTGTGCTGCTGTCGGGGGGCGGGGGGGGTCGGAGCAAGCCAGGTGTCGGAGCGGGGGCCGGAGGGAGGCGGGGTGGGTGGTGGAGGGGTCACCGGTCACAGGCGCCCAGCCAGGGGGGACAGACGATGATGGGGGACAGTGGAAGGGAACACGTCAGATGCAGTAAGGCGGATTGGGGTGAGAAGAGAGAGCGGCGCATAATCCCAAGTCCCAAACCCAAAACAGGAACTGGGAGAGGCACGGGCAGAGCAGAGAAGTGGTGTCGTTGCGAATGTCACCCACAACCCCATGCTCTACACAATGCCCTTGCAGGCGGGCACAGATCTCCCCTTGCCCCCACCCAAGCCCACCTGTTGAGGGGGCCATGGAGCCCAGGGCTTGGGAGAGAAAGGCAGTTCACAAGCAAGGTCCCCATTAGAGTGGAGGCCTCTGGGGTGGAGGAGCTGCTCCCAACACAATAAGCCCAGCATGCCAGGGAGGGCACTGGGGTTCACGAATGCTCTGTGCCCGTCCATCTCCAAAGCAGATTCCAGGGCTCTCCAAGAGTTGGAGAGCTTCCAGGAGAGTAGACAGACTCAGTGCCCACCTCAGTGTTCATGCCCCAATGCTCAGCTGAGAACAAGGACGCCTCTCACTTACCAGGGTTCTAGAGGCCTGAAGGAGGGTGGGGAGAGGAAGAGCCTGGGCTGGCACTCACCGAAGATGAGCGGCTGAATGTCCGGCTGCGTCGCCTCCGCCGTCTGTGCTTCCTCCGGCTGCTGCGCTGGCTGCGGTAACTGCTGTTCTCCCGCTGATACTCGTAGGAATGCCGGTAGTCTGCATCATAGTAGGCTTCTCCCCGATCCCGGCTGTAGTCGTTGCGCCTGTAGCTGCCACAGTATCGCCGGTCATATGCCCTCCGGTCTGATGAACGGTCATCATAGCTGCTGTTGAACAACAAACACCCATTAGGTACATCTGTTCAGGCCACATTCCTTGCCACACCATGTGACAAGTCTTCCCTCAGTGAGGACAAGGAGTAATGCTAGAAAAACTGCTCTCAGACACTCATCAAGTTGCTCTGAGAGGACCAGAGAAATAACTAAGCACAGAGGAGGAACCCCACACCCGTGTGTCACCACAACCTCTGCAAAGAGATGTGCAAAACAACTCCCTCTAGGGCCTCCTCCTCCTCTCCAGTGATTCAGTCGAACAAAGAGCCATTTCTTTCTCGAGCCTTTCCCAACTGACATCCAGCTTTGCTCCCAACTATCCCTAGCCCATCCCTCCCACTGAACGTGCCCCTAAGTTATGGAAACCATGCAGACCTAACTTTGTCTTATTAGCTCATTAGCTCCCTCTGGCCCCAAGTCTTTTGCACTTGTTTTCCCTTTGCCTGGGACACTTCTTTGTGCTTCAGACAAGCTTAGATGTCATATTCCCTGGAAAGCATTCCCTGAAGTACAAGTGGCTTATTTTGATATCCATCTGGAACATCCTCTTCACCCAGCTGCTTAGCATGTAACCACTAAATCTTTGCTAAACAAATGAATGAGTGAGTGACCCTGAGTATGAATTTCCCTTCCTGAGGCCTCACCTCCGGGAACGGACATGGTAGCTGTCTTCCCGCCGGCGCCGTCGTGTCCGGTCACTGCTACTTGACCAGGAGCGGCTTCTTCGTCTCTTATGCTTTCGGCTCCGATAGTGTTCATGGTAACTCCCCCGGCTGCCTCGCTCTGAGGAGTGGTACCTTCGGGGATGAGGCATCTGCAAGGGAAGGAAAAACAGAAATAGTGGGAAAAGCTGAGTTTTCACAAGTCCCCTCCAAGGACTGGCTGCTCCAGAGATGCTAAGCTGCTTTCTGCTTTCATTTATTTTTAAATTTTTTTTTAAAAAACTCAGAAAGTCTCATTTTTTTTTTTTAAAGATTTTATTTTTTCCTTTTTCTTCCCAAAGCCCCCTGGTACATAGTTGTATATTCTTCGTTGTGGGTCCTTCTAGTTGTGGCATGTGGGACGCTGCCTCAATGTGGTTTGATGACCAGTGCCATGTCCGCGCCCAGGATTCGAACCAACGAAACAGTGGGCCGCCTGCAGCGGAGCGCGCTAACTTAACCACTCGGCCACGGGGCCAGCCCCTCTGCTTTTATTTCTACCTCTTTTTACCACCCACAACGTCCTTCGTCTTCCTCTCTGCTTACAATTCCTGCTCAATGGAGTACCTATCCAGGGTGAGTGAACCTACTCACTCTGGCAACAAACTCTGGGAAGCCTCCCTCTTGCCCCCAATCGCTAATTAACCCCCCCCGACTCAGCTCACTGCTCTACTCTGATTTTCCTCAAACATGGCTCCAGGAAGACCTTCAGGTCTGGGTCACAGCTCATTACAGGTGAGACTGTGCAAGTGATGGAGACTGCTGGGATCTAAAATAGACTGTGCCATGCTGAGTTCTTCACAACGCAACAAAATAAAGCTTTAGTATACACTATTATGATACATGTTATCAGTCATTGAGTGTATATTATCTCCTCAACTAGACCATCTAGGTCCCGAGGGCAGGAATCCAGTTTACCAGGTCTCTACATATAGCAGTGAATACCAAATATAAGCAAAGCAAGTTCCAGGGATCTGGGTCTGGCCCTTCCAACTAACTTAATCATCCCTCACATCTCTGGCCAAATCCCCCTGGAGAGATTTTAATACAGCAGGCCCCAAGCTGCAGTCAGCTGCCCATCTGGCCTCTCCTCTCTTGTGCTTAGGAAGTACAGAATAACTGGTTTTTAATTAATGTCAGAACTATGTGGCTAAAAGCTGGCCACTTTCCAGTTATTGAATGGCATGGTGCACAAATCCTTTCTTCCCTTCAAAGAAAGAATCAAGAGAGAAATCACTGTCACAATCCAGGAAGATGAGAATAGGAGGGCAGAATAAAATGAAACGGGGCCAGGGACAGACGTCTTGGTGAAGGCTGGTGAGAGGAGTTGTGGAAAAGGCTTAATGACTCCCACATCTGGCTCCCATTCTGAGCTACTTCTTCCCAACCTCCTCAAACTGAGGAGGAGGGTGACATTTGATTCATTCCTGACCTAACAGCACACTAAGGAACCAAGGAAACCTAAGTACAAGATTCTCCCAGGTAATCTAACCTTGTCAAGCATAACCACATAAATGTCACCATATACATACTGCCACGGAAGTTCCTCACAGGCCTCTCCCCAATCCAAACCATCTCCAGCCTACATCCTTTCTCAACTTCCAAATCTTCTTTTCTCTTTCTCACTCAGAAAACCCAGAACTAACTCCTAGAGTCAAACTCTTGCCATAACCTCCAGGTGACACGGTGGTGTCTTCCCTCTCTCCAGCCTTAGTCCAACTTTGACATTCTGCTCTCTCTCATCTCTGGAGACACTCCTATCCCTACTCCATCACCCCTTCTCCTACTCCGATCCCTCCCAAGTTACCTATAGGTCTTCCGGACACATCTAAGGCAGGCCGATCTTCCACCTTATCTCCCCACTCCTCACCTCTGCTGCTTCACAGGTCTCAACCCTCCTCCTTTCCTAATCTCGCCCCAGTCCTTTGCCCCCAATCCAATCCTATCCCCGCCCGCCCCGCGGTCGCCATCTTTCCGCGCGGCCCCGCGGCCCGCCAGGCTGCGCGCTCACCGTTCTGGCGGCGAGGCCCGTGCGCTTGTCCCACAGGAAGTCCGTGATGGCGGCGGCACTGCGGCCGGAGTCCCGGCACCCCCGCGGCGACGAAGTGCGACTCCACCCCCTCAACCCGAGACCCTGGGACCTCCCGCCTCGTTCCCGGGCTCCGCTCCAGTCCCGCCCGCCCCGGCTCCGTCCCCGCCCCCAGGATCCGCTTGGCGCCGCTCGCACCGCCCCCGCCCGGGGCCCGATCCCAGCTCGGTCTCCGGCTCTGGCCTCTCCGATCCGCCGCCGCCACCGTGAGCGAGCACGTACGTGCGCACGCACGTCCTGCGTCGCTTCCCAGCTACCCCCTGGGCTCCGCCTCCAGGGCCGCGCACGCCACCGCCGCGTTGCGTAGCTCGCGGGCGTCCTCGGGTGTGAGCGGAGGAGGTGCTGGGGGCGGAAGTTCATGAGGGCGGAGAGGCCGTCGCCGGGGCTTGCCAGGCCCTGTACGCCCCGCCTTGAGTCGTTCCCTATCGGTGAACTTTTTACCTTTTTCGTGGACTTCTGTGGCTTACTGAGTTAGGTTTGAAGATGTAAAAGAAAGTGGTGTCATTTATGGAGTGTCGCCGCTCCGCAAACCTTTTGAGGCTTGGCGCTGAGGTCTGACTCTCCTGCATAGCCTGTAAATGTCTAGTCCTTAAAACGGTTTGGCTGCCTAACCGCACCAAAGAGGGCCTTCCACCCTTTGTCCTGAACAAAAGCTATGCACATGTGGAGTCGGGGGCATAGCCATGGGGGGAAGATTTGGGAAATGGAGGGATGGAGATTCAAGTGCCAAAAAGGGGAAATCACTTGAGAACTGTATGTTATGTACTTACACGTGATATATGAGATGCGTAAGATGCTGAATTGGAAAAAAGGAGAGGAAAGAGAAGGAGACCTTCAGACAAACTGGGCAGAGTTAGAGACGCCATAGAAAGAATCGAGAAATAAAAAGGGAAATGAAAAAATAACCTGAGGCTAACTTTATTAAAGTCAGGGAATATCAGAAGGGAGCTGGGATGGAGGATAGTCAGATGGAGATTAGATCAGTTGGCTAGAAATTATTTAGGAGAAGTTCCCTAAAGTAGACGAGGAAGGGTAATGAAGGGGTTGAGTGGAAAGAGTGGAGAGTTCACTTCTTCCTCCATGAACACTTTCGCAGGTCAGTGATTCATTCAACAAGCATTTACTGAATGTCCACTATGTATCCAGCATTGAGCCAGGCGCACAGCTCCTATTCTTCAGAACTTCACAGTCTAATGAGAGAGAAAGAACTGTAACCAAATAGTGGCAGTCTATGGTAAAAGCTGTCATAAACAGTAGTGCCCTGGGCGCTGTAAGAAAGCTCTAGACTAGATCGTAGCTGGGGAGAGGAGAGTTGGAAAGGCGTTTTTAGGTTTCCTAGAGGAGATGACATCTGAACCAACTGCTGGAAAGTGAATTGGAGGAGAATAATACCACGCAGAGAAAATATATGCAAAGGACTGGAGACAAGACAGAACAAAGCATTTCAGCATGATTGGAGTCCTGGCTTTCAAGAGAGAGACTATCAGAAGAGAGACTGTTGAAACTAGGTCCAAATTTTGCAAGACCTTGTACGTCATTCTAAGGGGCTTAAATGTAATCCTATAGAAGATGGGGAAGTTTAAATGACAGTAAGCAAGTGATATAGTTACATTCAGATTTTAGGAAGGTAACTCTGGCAGACTATGGAAATAGAATTGACCTGGGAGAGTTTAGAGACCCTTTTAGAGGTTTCTGAAATAATCTAGGTGAAAAAATGCTGAGGGCTTGAAATAAGGCAGTGGCAATAAGAAACGGAGATGAGGGGTAACTTTGAGATATTTAGGAACTTACAGCACTTAACATCACATAGCACTATAGTTTACCTGTTCTGTCTGTTTGCAGGCACAGACAAGCAGTGGCTTTATGGCTAGGAGTTTTGTATTCATCTTTGTATCCTCAGCGTCCATTCAGTGACAGGCAGTCGGACATGGTGAAGGTTAGCACAATGAATTCGTAAGTGAAGTACTAACAGAAGCAGTATGGAGATCAGAAGGAAGGAATACGCCTAGGAGAGTGCCGAGAGGGAGAAAGTGGAAAGCAGAAAGTCCATGAGCGAGAGTGGGGAAGAATCTCAAAAAAGCTATTCCCCACCTTTTCCCTTGGTCCCCAATCCCTTGCCTTCCCGATTCTTACGAGCTACAACCAGCGTCCGGTTTTCCCGCCGTTCGCCGGCGGCTCCACCTCCCTGGCGCTCAGTGGATAAAAGCCCATCAACTCTAGGCCACGCCCTCTCCATGGCTCTGGCTGTTTCCCCTCCTTCTTCTATACTTGGAGAACGTCCCGTATTTGCTAAGCCACGCCCACCTCAGAGTCCTTCCAGGATACAGGCTTTGTTGGCCCTGCCCGCTCCCGGGATGGCTTTCGGACGGCCACGCCCCCGCCGGTCCTACCCAGCCTTCCCGCGGCCCTCGCCAGGGGGCGCAGCGCAAGCCGCCCGCTGCCCGCCGGAGTGTCTGTCGCACACACCCCCTCCGCCCCGCGCGCAGGCAGTTCCCAGCCGACTACGTCTCCGCTCTGAGCCCGAGGGGCTGCGCCGGCTCCGGCTCCGGGAGGGGTCGGGGGTCCCAGATGGCCGTGGTAGGGTCTGGGAGGCCAAGCGTGTAAGCTGGCGGGCGTCATGGAGGCGGAGCAAAGGCCGACCTCCCCGGCCGGCGACGGGGCGACCCCTGGGCTGGAAGCGGCGCCTCCTGCTGCACCGGCGTCTGCGACCGCGGCCTCGGGTCCGACCCCTGGGTCTGGGTCCGGGCCCGAGCCCAAGAGGAGGCAGCTCGGGACGCTGCTCCAGCCCACGGTCAACAAGTTCTCCCTTCGCGTGTTCGGCAGCCACAAAGCAGTGGAAATCGAGCAGGAGAGGGTCAAGTCAGCAGGGGCCTGGATCATCCACCCCTACAGCGACTTCCGGTACTGGGGGCCCGGCAGAGAGGGCGGGGGACACAGATCCCACCTTCACGGGCAGCCACACGGGGGCTGGGTCCGCCGCCCCACCCTCCGCGGTCACTTCATTTCCGGCCCAGGGGTCCCTGGGTGGGGCGAGAAAGGCATTTCCCCCAACCTAGCCTGGGAATTCTTGGGCGAGGGATCCCCAGCCAGAGGCCCTCGGTGACTTCACAGGCTGGGGCTACCAGAAAGGACAAGCAGAGATCTGGATTTCCCGTTTCAGGAACCCGGCATCCCCCCATGGAACACAGGGACTACTGGAATTAGGAACCCCTGCCTTCTCCAGTCCTGCTTGCTGGGGATCTGGGAAATTATGTCATATTCCAAGGCTCGGAGTCAGCCTGAGGGGAAAACCGAGCCCCGCTATTTCCCCCCCCCCCCCCCCCCCCCCCCCCCCAGGACCTGCCTGGTTCAGCAGGGCAGGCTACCAGGAAAATTAGGGACGCTGGGAGGAGAGTGGGGGCGGGGGGCGGGTCTGGACAGTTCTGTCGCTGTCCACGGTGCTGAAGGCGGGATGCGGCGGGGCCGGGCCGAGACTCGGATTGAGGCAGCAACGCAGGGGCATGGCCACCGCCCAGGTGACTACCAGAGAGAAGGGACCGAGGGTGGGGGTGGGGCCATTTCATAGTCCCCATCAGGCTGTACCTCTATATCAAGGTCGCTAGGGGAGGAGAGCAGCCCTGTCCTTGGAGGAAATGAAGGACAGCTTTTGGATGAGGCAAGGATGTGTGTAAAACACCTAACCTGGGGAGAGAAATGAGCAGAAAGGATGAGGTGTGAATCAGGAGCCTGGAAACACAACTGGGAACCTAGACATCATTTTGAATCCACAGACATACAAACTCCCTAAACGTTCCTCTTTCTCTCATTGTTCCTTCCACTCCCCTCTTCTTTATTGCCTCATTCCCACCCCACCAATGCACCTTTTCTAGTGTCCTGTGGATCTCCCTCCCCTCCCCCGTTTCACCCTCAGATGTATCCCCTAGAAGCCTTGTATCCCCCTTATTATCGTGCTTTTTCTCCGTCCTCTCTATTGCATCACCAGCCAGGCTTGTGACTGCCTGTGAGTCAGGCTGTGAAGATGCTCTATGGCTAGGCAAACCCTCTTTCCCTCTCCTCTCCCAACTCACACTACAGGATTTCTCCAGTGGCCCAGGAGTGAGAGCAAGAGTGGGTCGAGGATTTGTTGTTGATTGAAAGCACACAGTCCCAGGGCCTTCCTGGAGGCCTGGACTTGGGGACCATCAAGCTTCTTTCAGTGGCTGAAAGGATTGACTTTGTAGTCAGAGTCAGAAGGGATTGGGTCCTGGAGTCCTAACCCAGCTGGGTCGTGGGTTGATGCTGCAATTAGATGTGTCCTGGAATTAAAACCATCATAGCTAATTAGGACCCTCAGATTGTCCAGTTATTTTCTCTGAATGAAGGCTTCACCTAGCTCCCTGCTGACCTCTTCTTTCCACAGCTTCCAGCACAGCAGTGCGACTTCCCCCTGCCCATGCCCTTGCCTGGTCTCAGCCAGAGTCCCAGTGGGCACAGGGAGGCTAGGGGAGGAAAAGAGTGTAGAACTTCAAGCCTTGCCTCAGAATCTCCTATGGAGCATCTCTGTATGTGCAGCCCTCTTTGAGGTGCTGTGCAGGGGATGGGGGTATCCTTGAAAAGCTTAGTTCAAATGGGAGGCAGGACAGACCACCCCCACCCTGGGACACAGATGAGCAGATCCCAGCAGAGAAGCAGGAACCATGGGTCCAACTGTGCTGACGAGGAGAGATGGGGTGGGGAAGGCTGGGGAGGGCCTGAAGTCCTAGACTAAGAATGGGCAGAGAGCTGGAGATGGGAGAAGCAGCAACCTCTTCAGAAATCTGGGGATAAAGGGTGGGTGAGTCATAACACCAATTAGAACTTGTACAGCACTGTCACATCCATTGTCTCAGTGGCTATTTTTTCAGCAACTCTGTGAGATTAGCACAGAGTACTTTATCTTTTTTTAACATTTAAAATATTTAATAATAGTGACATAGATCATACCATGTAAGAGAATTATGTATATATTTTATACATATTAAGAAGATACATATGTATATATAAAGTAGGGATAATTAGGATATATATTTACATGGTAGAGTCATATATAGTAGTATAGTATATAGCAGGCCATATATATATGAAAAAGTAATTATAAAGCAAACTCTCATGTAACAACTATCTAGGGTAAGAGAGACTACATTGCTGACACCCCAGAAACCTCCCCACAGCTCTCATATTCCTTTCCCAAACCCAGTACTCTAACTTTTCTGGAACTGATTTCCTGTTTCTGAACTCTGTACAAGTGGAATCATCCAGCATGTATCCTTTTGTTTCTTATTTCTTTTCTCAACATTAAATTTGTGAGATTCATCCATACTGCGGCATGTAGCTGAAGTTGGGGGATTTCTCAGTTGTATAGTATTCCAGGGCATGAATACATCACAGTGTATCTAACTACTGTGTTTATCTTATTTATCTACGTTTTTCTGCTGATGGACATTGGGCTTTCCAGATTTAATGCTGCTATTCCTGTATATATCTCCTGGAGCACATGTTTCCCATGAGTGTGTATATACCTAGGAAGGAGCTGCTGAGTTGCAGGGAATACAAATGTTTAACTTTACTAGATAATGCCAAACTATTTTCCCAAATAGTCTTCCCAATTTATACCTCCACCAGCTGCAAATGGTCATTCCATTATTCTGTATCCTTGCCCACTCTTGGCTGTGTCAGACTGCTGTTTAGAGGCTGGTGAAATATCATCGTGGTCTTATTCCCCATCCTATCCCCACCTTAGGTTTTACTGGGACCTGATCATGCTCCTGCTAATGGTGGGGAACCTCATTGTGCTGCCCGTGGGCATCACTTTCTTCAAGGAGGAAAACTCCCCTCCGTGGATCGTCTTCAACGTCCTCTCTGACACTTTCTTCCTGCTGGATCTGGTGCTCAACTTCCGCACAGGCATCGTGGTAGAGGAGGGCGCTGAGATCCTGCTGGCACCACGGGCCATCCGCACACGCTACCTGCGCACCTGGTTCCTGGTTGACCTCATTTCCTCTATCCCTGTGGACTACATCTTCCTGGTGGTAGAGCTGGAGCCACGATTGGATGCCGAGGTCTACAAAACAGCGCGGGCTCTGCGCATCGTGCGCTTCACCAAGATCCTCAGCCTGCTGCGGCTGCTCCGCCTCTCTCGCCTCATCCGCTACATACACCAGTGGGAGGAGGTGGGGCGGGGAGGTGGGCAGGGGGGCTCGCACACTCCTCCAAGACAGGGATATGGGTGGGGCTTCTGGTGACTTTAGGGGGGCGCAGATGGGTGAGGCTTCTGAGGGTGGGCTCTCTCCAGAGCTGTTTGGGGAGAAGCAGAGACGGAATAAGTGTTCAGGGAATAGGGTCCCAAGGTGAGAATGGTGGTGCAGGAGGCTGGGGCGCAGCTGCTGGACAAATACTTAGCTGGACTCTGGGAGAAGATGTGGGAAGGGAGTTAAGAATTGCGGGCGGTGGGAGAGACTGGAATTTCAACTGCAGGGCAGCAGAGTTTAGTGGTTCAGAGTGTGGGCTCTGCAATTTCATTGCCTGTGGTCAGATCCCAGTTTTACTATTGACTATATGAGACTTGGTTTCCTCTTCTATAAAGTGGAAATGGTGAATATACTTGGGTGATAAGGATTAAAGGAGTTAATACCTATAAAGCACTTAGAACAGCGCCTGGCTCACAGTATGTTCTCAGTAAATTACCTCTTGTTGTTATTATTGGAGAGGAAGAGGACTGCCGGCATTACTCCTTAAACACATGCCCTGGGGACGTTACACTCTGAAATGCCCTCTCTCCTCTTTTCCAGGCTGCATCTGGGCAATTTGTACAGTAGACCTTTTTGAGTTTCTACTGTGACACTTACTGTGTGATTCTGAGTACATGATCGTGTCAATTTTCCTATCTATGAGAGTAGAAACACAACCTACTTGTGTTAGCTATGTATGTGCGCTGTAAAGCTCTATACAAATGAATAAGAGCCACATTTAAAAAACTCATGGGGGCTGGGGCTAGAGAGAAGTTCAGAGAGAGCATCTGCAAGGTTGGGAATGGAGGAGGACCGGCAGGGAGGGGTTCCTGTCCACAGTAGCCCCTCCTCGGACTCCTCAGATCTTTCACATGACCTATGACCTGGCCAGTGCCGTGGTTCGCATCTTCAACCTCATCGGGATGATGCTGCTGCTATGTCACTGGGATGGCTGTCTGCAGTTCCTGGTCCCCATGCTGCAGGACTTCCCTCCCGACTGCTGGGTCTCCATCAACCACATGGTGGTGAGCACTCCCCACGGCTCTGCCTCTCCTGGGCCTTCCAAGGGCTCTTCTGACCGAGTAGCAGGGATGACCACAGCGGGCAGGAGGTGGGAGATGATGGAGAGATGATCAAGAGAGAAGACAGGAGTGAGGAGGTGGGGAGGTAAGAGGAGAGGGGAAAGAGACTCAGGAGAAGTGTTTGTGTGTTGGAGGCAGCAGGCTGGAAAGGAAAGCTAGGCAGAAACTGAGGCCCTCCGAGCTGCAAAAGAGGCCCCTTCTGCCTCAGGCTCCCCAGAAGCAAACTTAAGTGTCTTCCTGCGAGGCAAGTCTGAAGAAGAAGGGGGCAGGTAGAAGGACTGAAAGAGAGAGAGAAGGGGGCAGAAGGACATTGAGGCTCTGAGGGGCCTATGCCCAGCTCTGCAATACACTCTGCCCCCTAGAACCACTCGTGGGGCCGCCAGTATTCCCATGCCCTGTTCAAGGCCATGAGCCACATGCTCTGCATTGGCTACGGGCAGCAGGCACCTGTTGGCATGCCCGACGTCTGGCTCACCATGCTCAGCATGATCGTGGGCGCCACGTGCTACGCCATGTTCATCGGCCACGCCACCGCCCTCATCCAGTCACTGGACTCTTCCCGGCGTCAGTACCAGGAAAAGGTCAGCAGGGGCAGGAGAAGGAAGGGGTGGGCATGGAGGGAGCTGGAGGCTGGGTAGCTCAACTTGAGGCCCGTTCTGACACATGCCCCTGTTGGATCTCTGTGTCCTTTTTTGCCCCATGTCCATGTGTCCCGTGACCTTGTGTGTACTTCTCCTTGTTTGGACCTGTGCCCCTGTCCTTGGACCCCTCCTCTGCCCATTTCTGGGTTTTCCTGTGACTGTGCTCTGTGTCCTCCCTGTATCCACCGTTTTCCATGTGTCCCTCGGTGGCTGTGTGTATCCCCGTCTGTCTCCATGTTTCACCTCTCTGGGTTTGGCCCTTGTCTGTGATCTTCCTCCACATACACCCCACATGCTGTTCCTGCCCCACATCTGTCTCTGTGTCCCCTTGCCTGCTGGCCTTCGGCTGGCCCTCCAGTACAAGCAGGTGGAGCAGTACATGTCCTTCCACAAGCTGCCAGCTGACACCCGGCAGCGCATCCACGAGTACTATGAGCACCGCTACCAGGGCAAGATGTTTGATGAGGAGAGCATCCTGGGCGAGCTGAGCGAGCCGCTGCGGGAGGTGGGACTGGGCGGGGCCCTGGAGGGGGGCTCTTCAAGGACCTGGGCTTCTGGGATGCTGTGTAGGGTAGGGGCTATTGGTCAGCAGGTGCACCTATACAGAATGGGGCCTGCAGTGGGCCCCATGGGAGGCCAGGCCTTTGGGGGGCTTTTAGGGGCTAAGGTCTTTCTTGAAGCTCTTATGGGGGTGAAGTATACATGGGGAGGGGCTGCAGGGTTCTCTATTTGAGGGGGATGGTCCTGCAAGGGCTCATGGGAGAGCTCTGAGGTCAGGAGCTTAGGGATGGTCCCAGGCCCACTGGAGCATCCCCATCCTTTGGCAGATCATGACCCCAAGGGTGGGGCCTCTGGAGACAGATGAGCTCAATGGGGGCACCTCGGGGCAGGGGGCACAGCCTGCCTAACAGGCCCCTCCCCTGCCCAGGAGATCATTAACTTCACCTGCCGGGGCTTGGTGGCCCACATGCCGCTGTTTGCCCACGCCGACCCCAGCTTCGTCACGGCAGTGCTCACCAAGCTGCGCTTTGAGGTCTTCCAGCCAGGGGACCTGGTGGTGCGTGAGGGCTCCGTGGGCAGGAAGATGTACTTCATCCAGCATGGGCTGCTCAGTGTGCTGGCACGTGGCGCCCGGGACACCCGCCTCACTGACGGATCCTACTTTGGGGGTCAGCAGGCCTCAGGGCGGGTGGGGGGACTGGAGCAGAGGACAGAGGGCGACTGCTCCCCTGGATCAGGGTCCCTGCCTGGCTGTGCTGCAGAATCACAGAGTTCCAGCCCCTCCCCAGGCCTGCTTAATCAGAATCTCTGGGCCTGGGGCCTGGAGCTCCGTATTTATAAAAAGCTCCTTAAGGGATTCTAATGTACAGCCAGGTTGAAAATTTCTGGGCTAGTGGGCATTTTAGAACCCTTAAGCAGTGAAATCTGAGGATCCTACGAGATGAGGGAAAGATAGGAATAAAGCAGTGCTGTTCCAGGGGCTTGAGCTTGGTGGCTCCCTGGTGGGACCCAGCTTGTGGCAGTGGGGGCAGTTCTGCCAGCTGCTGCCCCAAGTGACTTGAGGCTCATATAATCTCTCAGTCCCCAAACCTCTGGCCCCCTCCAGCATCCCTATTGTGTTGCCCTTTGCCCTTTGGCATTACTTTTCTCTTGGGTTGCCCTTGGCATTCATTCAAAAGGGTGAGAGTTGAGAGTACATGCCCCAAGCCTACCCCTTGGGACAGAGCAGTGGAGGTGGGTGGGAATTAAAGTGCAGTAGGAGTGTGCGGCCAGCAAAACCTCCTGTTTGTCAGCTTCAGTATGGAGAGAGTGAGAAGGATGGTAATTGTGCGGGTCTGGAGAGGGACAATGCTTGGAGCATTTAAGGAGCCTGGGGTGGGTTGGTAGTCACTAATTTCCCCGTCTGGGGGGAGCCTGAGGAAGCTGGGTCAGCTGCCACAGGCCCAGTGAGAGGGAGCTCTGGGAACAGTGGTTCTGAAGGTCTCCTCCCAACTTGGGCAGAGATCTGTCTGCTGACTCGGGGCCGGCGCACGGCCAGCGTGCGGGCCGACACCTACTGCCGCCTCTACTCGCTCAGTGTGGACCATTTCAACGCGGTGCTCGAGGAGTTCCCCATGATGCGCCGCGCCTTCGAGACTGTGGCCATGGATCGGCTGCGCCGCATTGGTGAGGCCTGTCCACCCTGTCTGCTCTGGGTCCAGGCTGTGCCCTCACCCTATCTCCAGGGCAGGAAGCCCCCAGCGTCCCAGGGCCGAGGCTCTAGTACCTCAGCATCACACCCTAGTCCACCCCAGTCCCAGCAAATACCCCCAAAAGGCCTTTCAACACTGCGGCTTGCTGTCCTCATCACTCAGTATCTCCTTCCCCTGGAGGTATCGCCCCGAGTCCCCATGCCCTGAGTCCTTCCTCCCTGAGTACCAGTCCATGACCCTCACCATCTCTGATACATACTCTCATCCCCAGACCCTCCTCCTCCAACCCCCATCTCCCAATCTCCATCCCCCAACCCCATCTCCATACTCTTGACTCCCATCCTCTACCCTCATCCCACCGCCATCCCTTCACTCCATCTTGTTCCCCTCACACTCTTTGATGTCCAACCTTCATGTTGGATTTCTTCCCTATGCTTAACTCCTCCCTCCTGGGAAAATTTCTAGGCAAGAAGAATTCCATACTACAGCGGAAGCGCTCTGAGCCGAGTCCTGGCAGCAGTGGGGGCATCATGGAGCAGCACTTGGTGCAACACGACAGGGACATGGCTCGGGGTGTTCGTGGCCTGGCCCCAGGCACAGGAGCTCGGCTCAGCGGAAAGCCAGTGCTGTGGGAGCCACTGGTGCACGCGCCCCTGCAGGCAGCTGCCGTGACGTCCAATGTGGCCATTGCCCTGACTCACCAGCGGAGCCCTCTGCCCCTCTCCCCCGACTCTCCAGCCACCTTCCTTGCTCGCTCTGCTCGACGCTCAGCAGGCTCCCCAGCCTCCCCTCTGGTGCCTGTCCGAGCTGGCCCTCTGCTGGCCCGGGGGCCATGGGCATCCACCTCCCGCCTGCCAGCCCCACCTGCTCGAACCCTCCACGCCAGCCTATCCCGGGCTGGGCGCTCCCAGGTGTCCCTGCTGGGGCCCCCCCCAGGAGGAGGTGGAAGGCGACTAGGACCTCGGGGCCGCCCACTCTCAGCCTCCCAACCCTCTCTGCCTCAGCGGGCAGCAGGTGATGGCTCTCCGGGGCGGAAGGGCTCAGGAAGTGAACGCCTGCCCCCCTCAGGGCTCTTGGCCAAGCCTCCAGGGACAGCCCAGCCCCCCAGGCCACCGGTGCCTGAGCCAGTCACCCCCCGGGGCCCCCAGCTCTCTGCCAACATGTGAAACCCTTGGGTGCAGTAGTGTGTGCCCGAGGGCAGGTGCCTCTTGGGGAAGGCTGAGGGGACCTGAAACAATGCCCTATGGGATATTTCCCCTTACTACTATGAAGATGGTCTCTGTCCTCAGCTCAGGCACCCTGCAGCCTGTTTGACATCCTCCTAATCCATTCACCCATCCATCAAATGTACTGAGCGCCTACTGTGTTCAAGGCACTGTGCTGAGTGCTGTATGTCTCCACTGCCAAGTAGAAGTGACTCCAAGCCCTTTGACAAGGGTATTCCCTCAGCCATGGTCCTGCCAGGTGCAGGCCTGGACCCGTGATCCCACTTTACTAAGCACAAGTACTTGCCACCACCATCACTGCCAAGTAACTAGATGTCTCTGTTTCCCTGCCCATGACCCTGCAGGTTCTGCCTGGCACGGTTATCTTTCTGTCCCCCTAGCATAGCTGGGCACTGCCAATTACTTGTGCCCCCATTACTGTCAACAAATGTCATAAGTCCTCAGTATGGGCATCACCTTCACTGCCATGTATGGACCCTCCCTGTCTATACCACCAGAGTGGAACACACATCTCCTGCCAAGTTCCCTGCGCTCTTTGTCTCTGTGGGAGAACTGTCTTTTTGTAAACTGGGAGCCACCTACTCCCTGTGCCCCTGCCCCAGTGGTGTCCCCCTTGAAGCTAAGGGATAGTTGGCACCTCCTTATTTAGTGTGCCAGCCTAGATCCCCCCCGGTGGGGAGCTGGTGGCTGAATCCTTAGATGGCTTTTTTTCTTTCCTTCCTCCCTTCCTCCTTATTTATTTATTCTTAATTGTTCAATCATTTAATAATTGTATTTATGTATTCATTTGCTAATTTAATTTATTATCCATTCATCTTATTCACTCATTCCTTTATTCATCCCTCCCCTCCCCTCCTGGTAAGGAGATAGGAAGGCACAGGGCCCCACCATGCCAGCTCTTGTGGTCCTTGCCCATTTCCATTGGCAGCAGTATTGGAATCCTCTCCCTATCTGGGTAGGGGTAGGACGGGCCCCCCAAGAGGGGGAACAGGACTGTTTTTACTTTTAGGGTTTTTTTTCCCTACTGAGTTTGCTGGTGGTTCAGGAGGGCCCGAGCTATCCAAGCCTGGGGAAAGGCAGGCCAGCCAGCACCTCTGCCTTCTCAGGGACAAGAGAAATCCCTTACCACACCTCTGTCCCCACACCTACTCCACAGCATCAGAGAACATGGGGCTGGGATCCTAAATCTCCTTTTCTCCTGGGTGAGGAGTTCTGGGGTTCTGGGTGTGTGGGAGAAGTTTTATAATTGCTTCCAAACAGCTGGGTTTAAAAAGAAAAGAGAGACACTCATTTGGCTCCTGGTGTGTGTGTGGAACAAAGTGGGCACGAAGGAATTTCTGGGTGCAGGGGGAGGGAGCAGGGTGTCCAACCCAGCGAGGCATGAGGTGGGCATGACGGCAACCGGGGAGTGGCCTGCAGGCCCAGCAGAGGCTGTAAAGATAGTGACAAGATGAGTCCCCCACTCTCGGCGCTCCCAGCGTACATCTACCCTGGCTTTCCCAAAAGGGGGGTGCTTTGATGTCACTGTTAGTCACAACGAAGGAAGAGGTGGCACTCCTTGGGAGATGCGCAGTTTAGCATGAGGGCCACGTATGAGAACGTCAGACTGCCTGGAAATGGGATATTTTTAAAGTAGTGATTTTGTGGGGACTGTGGACAGGATCACTCCATTCCCCTCTCCCCCCTCCCGCCAGGCGTGGGAAGCCTGGGGGAATAGAATTAACCAGTTTAGCTGAGATTAAAGGCTCAGAGCATCTTAGGGCTCAGCTGAGAGCATTGGGTGCAGGGAATCTACAGTTGGTGCAGCTGGATGGCCAGTGCTTAATTGGACACAGACTTTCAGGGCCTGTGTGAAATGAAGAGGGGGAAGGGGCACCCTGGAATGGGGTTAGATGGCAGATGTGGCCTTGGGTAGGGAGAATTGGGGGTAGACAAGACTTAGATATGGGGCTGTAGGAGGGGTGTGAGGTGGAGGGCGTGGGTAGAAGGGATGGGATCCAGGGCTGGCTGGGTCAGAGGGGGAGGGGCATCTCAGGATATGCTCAGCACCCGCATGATGTTGGTATAGCCAGAGCCAGGCCGCCAGCCTGTCACCACAATCACCAGGTCCCCGACATGGAGGAAACCACGGAGTTTTCCTGGGATGGTAGGGGGAGAGGATGACAATCAGCCATTGAGAGACCCAGGCCAGCCCTGTAACAAGAACCAGCCACCACCCTCCATCTCCTTAAGGCCATTCTGTAGGGAATAAGGGGCCTGAGGCAAACCATACAAGGTGTCCCACAGGTGGCACCACAGGGAATGTGACCACGGCAGTATATTAGAGCAGCAGATTTGTCTGTGGGGTGGCATGGGGTGTGTTCCTAAGTAGCAAGTCTGTCCGCCTGTGTTGCTATCAGATAGGAAGGGGTGGGGTACAGTCATAGCCAGTTGTAAATTAAATTTTAGTTCCAGCTTCAGGGGACTGGGTCCCCCTTTCTCCTCTCACCTCTTGCTCCTTATGTCACACCAGGCTCTAACCACCTGGTGTAGACAGCAGGTGGGCTGACTTCTTAGGGATGACCCTGACCTCTCTCTGCCCTCCTCCCTCAGCATCCCCCACCCCCCACCCCACCCCACCCCCCCCTCCCCGCCCCTAGAGGCCAAAATATCTCTGAGTCTTAGTGAATCTCACAGAGAAAATCTAGGACGAGAGGAGAGACGCAAGGCCCTTTTGAGGGGTGTGGGAAGTGGGATTGAGGGAGTTATGATACAAATCCAGGGGCGGGTTGGGAGGAAGTCTAGGTGGCTCACCACTTTCAATGCCAAATTGGACTCGGCGATCCACATCGTCTGCCCAGATGGCCTCTGGAGGTTCATGGTAGAGCAAGGGGAAGACTCCTCGGCATAGGTGGGCCTGGCGGGCAACCTGAGCGGAGCGGGTGACAGCAATGACTGCTGCCCGAGGTCGGTACCGAGACAGAAGCTGGGCTGAGCTGAAGGAGACACAGAAAGTCAGCCCAGAACAGAGAAAAGACTGTTGAACCAAGAAACAAGAGTTTGGGTTCTGGTTCAAGTGTCACCCACAAGCTGTGTGACCCTGGGTAAATCATCATCTTTTTCTGGGCCTTGGTTTCCTCACCTGTAAAATGGGTGTAAGAATGCCTGCCTTCTTACCACCCAGGAAGATATGAGATCATAAAGGATACATCAAATGAGATAATAAGAAACCTCCTTGAGAAACACAAAACCCTTCTGAGAATGTACCTTTACATAGTACTCAACTTACAAATGTCTCCTGTTAATCCTCACAGCCCCCTGAGGAAACTCAGGAGGCTTACAGAGCTGGGCTGACTTAGCTAAGGGGTCATATCTAAGTTTCAGAGCAAAGACTTGAACTCAGACCTTCTGGGACCTTCGGCAGCACCTCAGCATTGTAAGGCTTTGTGGGCTAAACGCAGAGGACTTGCCTCTGAGCCTTAAGAGCCCAAATGGCCTGGAAGCCAAAGCACGCAGTGATGCCGCCTTCTCCTTCCAACCCCCTAGAGCTCACCGGCACAATTCCTAGTGTGCTCTAAGACACGCCTCTCCTGGCCTCCAGCTCTCATAGCTACCTCTTCTCTCGTGCTAGAATGATACTCTTCATCGCTTATGACGAGACAAAACCCAAGCCTGTGGCCCATCCCAGCCTGCCCCTGACCCAAAGCCTTGTCTTAGTGTTCCCAGTATCCCCCTCACCGGCCAGTTGTGGTCAGGACAATGATGGCAGCAGCACAGCACTTGAAAGCAGCCTCCACAGCGCCGATGGCGACTACCTCAGTGGGATCACGGCTCAGGGGTGCTGCCCGGCGCAGCTCCTCAAACAGCTGCCGGTGGTACACTGCAGCCTCTGCCTCCCGGGCAATCTGCAGGCACCAGGAGGTCAGGCTGGGCAGGGACCTTGGCATCTGGAAGGGGTTTGGTTTTCCGACCCAAATGCCTTGCATTCTGAGCTCCTACCGCATGCTGCATCTTTACGGCCTCCACAGGAAAGTTGCCCTTGGCAGTTTCCCCCGACAGCATGATGCAGTCAGCCCCATCCAGCACAGCATTGGCCACATCACTGGTCTCTGCCCGAGTTGGCCGGGACTTCGTGATCATGCTCTCCAGCATCTGGGGAACATCTGGATGTCAGAGCTGTAGGAGTCACACTCTGACAAGCTACTTCTCTGACATCCACACTCTCAGAGTGCCCTGAAAGCCAGAGTCACCGTCACAAACTGTGTGATCCTGGCTGTTCAGTTTCCTCATCTGAAAATGGGGGTCACGGTATTTCTTCCCAACTTTGTTGTTTGAGGACCAAACGCTGGACAGCAAGCCTGCTATAGGCCTATGGTGGGGTATTCACCCTCAGGCGTCCCACAGAGGGCCCCAGCCCTGAGGGCTCACTCCAGACCTGTGTAGCACAGACAACAGGCTTGCCCGCCAAGTTGCAACGTCCGATTATCATCTTCTGAGCCAGGAAAACCTTCTCAGCTGGGATCTCGATGCCCAGGTCACCCCGTGCCACCATGATGCCGTCGCTCACCTCCAGGATTTCATCAAACCTGGGCGGTTGGGGGAGTCAGGGCTGGGGAAGAGCCAGAAGATGACAGGAAGAGGTAGGCGGAAGAAGAGGAGGAGCAGTGGGGATGGCTTAGGGCTTGATAGGGACAAAGACTGGGACTCACTTCTTCACTCCTTCGTGGTTCTCGATTTTGCTAATGATCTTGATGCCCTGTCCTTTTGGCCCCAGAGCAGCCCGGACGGCAACCACGTCGCTAGCTTTCCGCATAAAGGAGGCAAAGACGATGTCCACGCCATGCTCCACCCCAAAGCGCAGGTCTTGGACATCTTGCTCGGACAGCCCAGGCAGGTCTACCTGGATGCCTGGCAAGTTCACGCCCTTCCGGCTGCCCAGAAGGCCACCACTCTCCACTTCAGTCTCCAGCCCCTTTGGGCCTGCGGGCATAGAAAGAGCCAGCCTAGGTCACGGGTGAGGCCTGGGGCATAATCGTGATAGAAGGAGCATGGGGCTTGGACCCTCAAGAGATCAGGAACCATGTCCTATTCGTCTCTTCACCCTTGGCCCGTGGTCTGCACCAAATAGCACTGGGTGGACATCTGTGGAAGAAACAACTAACCTGCCAGTCCAGCCCCAACTCAGGGTGAGCCTAGGAGTTGGGATGCTGGGGCTCTGGGGACCGAGATGGGTGGGGAAGGATGCTGGCCAGGGGAAGGTGTGGTGGATCTACAGGACAAGCGTGTGAGCCCAAGGGAAGAAAGTGCATTCAAGTTTTGTGCATGGCTAGGGTGGGAGGCGTATCCGCACCAATTTTCTTGACCCGTAGGGAGATGAGCCCGTCGTCAATGTAGATGTGGCTCCCCAGTGGCATGACCCGGACGATATTGGGGTAGTCCACCCACACGGTGTTCGCGTTCCCCTGAATCTGGAATGCTGGGTCCACGGTCACCAGCACCTGGGAGCCCTTCACCAGCTCCACTTTTGATTCCAGGCCCTAGGGGCAGAGCCAGAGGAGTCTTGAGTTCTGCCCCATGCTATCCTGGGTCAGCCTTTCCCCACACTCCCCGCACGGGCAATTGTCTCCGTGCTCTATCACCCCCTTCCTGATCCCCCAAGTGTGGCCCGGCCCGGCCTGCCTCTCACCCCCTGCAGGATCCCAGTGCGTATCTCTGGTCCCCTGGTGTCCAGAGCGATGGCCACGGGTCGGTAGCTGAGCGGAGAAGTTGCAAAGCTCTCTGCTGCCTTTCGGACATTGGCGATGGACTCAGCGTGGTACTGGGGGCAGGAACCCGAACAGGGATTTCAGGTGAAGTTGGCCAGGACCCTGGGGCATCCTCTAGCCCCGCCTGCCTCCCCTTGGCCCTGCCCCAACCTCATGGGAACCGTGAGAGAAGTTGAATCGCGCAATGTTCATCCCAGCCTTAATCATCTCCTTGATGAGCTCCACGGAGCGAGATGCTGGCCCTGAAAACACAGATCCCGCTCAGACAACTTTCTCCCCTACCCTGAGAAAACCAAACCCATCACCACCCTCAGAGATGCCCCATGCCACAGAAGTCCTGTTACCTGACCTTTATTCCTGACACAGTCTCTGCTCACAGCTCAGAAACTCCGTTCTCCTCTCCAGCCAACACCTGCCTCCCTGGGGAGGCAACACTGTGGGGGTCTTGGAGGGGAGTGTCTTCAGCCAGGCCTGAGGTAACCTGGTTGGCAGTAAGTGCTGCAGTATAGGGGTAACCCGGAGGAGGTGTGGCAGGGGATGGGTGCCAAGTGACAGCATTTGGGGTACGGGCTTTAGAGCTGGCAGGTGTCATGCTGACTGAGGAGAGCTGAGTTCTCTCCCATCCCTGCTCTGCCGATAGGGCAGCTGTGTAACTGAGAGCCAGCTGGCCAGCCTCTCCAGTCCCTCCCTAAAGCCACTTCTTCCACTTGCGCGCTAGGTCTCCTTCTTACCCGCTCAGAGACAGAGTCAGCCATTCTCCAGTCCTCCGTGTTATCAATGTTTTCCTTTTTATTCGATCGTTCTCATCAATATGTCAACCTGCTGTTATTTCTTTCATCATAAAAAAATTCTCTTAATCCCAGTTCCCCCTCCAGCTGCAGTCCTATTTCTTTGCTCTCCTTTGCAGCAAAACTCATTGCAAGAATTGTCTGTGCTTGCTGCCTCCAGTTCTGCCCCCTTCCCATTCTCCGTTGTGTCCACTCCAGTCAGACATTGGCCTCCGTCTCTCTACTGCATCTGTTCTTGTCAAGGTCACCAAGAACCTCAGTGTTGTTGCTAAATCTCATGGTCAGTTCTCAGTCCTCATCTTAGCAGGCCCCACGGCAGCATTGGACACACATCCTTGATGCACCTCATTACTCAGCCTCCGAGACGCCCCCCTCTCCCAGTTTACTCCTGTCTCGCTGGCTGTTCCTTCTCAGTCTCTCTTGCTCCTTCCTCCTCTTAACATTAGATGCCCCATTCTCTTCTCTGTCATCTTACCTTCACTCCCTTTGTGGTCTCAACCAGTCTCCTGGCTTTAAATACCATCTATGTGCTGACAGCTCCCAAATTTATATCTCCAGTTCAGACCTCTCTCCCAAACCCAGATCTGTGTGTCTGATTGCCTACTCTATATCATACTCAGATGTCTAGTATGCGTCTCAAACTCAGCGTGCCCCAAACTGAACTCCTGATCTGCTCCCTGCCCCAAATCTTTCCACCACATCTTTCCTGCTCAGATGATAATGCATCCTTCTAGTTCCTCATGCCAAAAACCTTGGAGTCATCCTTCACTCCTTTCTTGCCCTCACCCCCATCCATATCCAATCCATCAGGAAATCCTGTCAGCTCTACCTTCAAGATACATTCAGAATCCGATCACTTCTCACCGCCTCCACTGCCACCGCCTGGTCTGAGCCAGCAATACCGTAGGAGCAGCATCTGCTCTTGCCTCTACCCTCACCCCCAACCTATGTTCAATACGGCAGTCAGGGTGGTTCTGTTAAAACACACATAAGAGTGTGTCATTCCCCCTGCTCAAAACTCTGCAGTGGTTTCCCATTTTTCAGGCAGGAAAACTCAACTCAAATTCTAAAAATGGCCTACTAAGGCCTCCATGATCTTCCACCCTCCCCAATCTCTTCATTTCTGCAATTCTTGCCTTTGATGGCTTCTGGCCATTCCAGCCTCCTTGACATAGGGCTTTTGCACTAACCATTCCTTCTGCCCAGAACTCTCTTCCCTGGAGTTCTGCATGGCTTATTCTCTCATCCCCTTCAAGCCTTTGCTCATGTCTAATTTTCTGAATACTGGCTACCTTGACTCTCTATTTAGGACTACAACCTGCCTCCCACTCTCACATCCCTAATGCCCCTTACCATGATCTATTTTTCTTTTTTCCATAGTTCTCATCACTTTCTAACACACTAAATAACTTATTTATTTTTAATAATTTACTGTGTTTATCATTTATTGTCCCAGCCAGCTATATTGTCAGCTCCCCAAGCGTAAAGATCTTTGTTTATTTATGAATCTACTCCCAGGGCCCAAAACCTTGTCTACCAAGTGCTCAACAAATATCTGTTGAATGAATGACTCTGTCATATACGGAGGAGTCTCAAAAGAGACAAAAGATGGGGAAGCACCTTGAGAAGCACCAAGAGGCCCTGTGGTGCTCTGGGGAGGGGGGGGGGGGTAGAGGCTGCTTACCGATGGTGGCAATGATGCTGGTACTGCGTGCGGCCAAGGGCTCGGAGTCAATGTCCAGCAGGCAGAGGTGCTCCAGGAAGGTGTCTGCCATAGCAGCTGGCAGCTGCTGCCTCTGGAAGAAGGCGGTGCCCAGCTCCTGGGTCAGCTGGGCCACGCTGGCCCGCCGCAGGTACCCCGCTTGTCCTGCAATAGAAGGTGGCTGCCTGGACCCCTACCTCTCCTCCCCATCCTTTCATCTCAGCACACCCTCTAGTCCTTCCCTCGGCTCTTCAGGTTTGTTGAGTCCTTCCTAGGAGCTGGGCATTGTGCATACTTTATCTTACGTAGTCACAAGGATCCTATGAAGCAGGTCCTGTTAAATGTTCTATAATTATTCCCATTTTATAGATAAGGAAACAGAGGCTGAGCAAGATTAAATAAATTGCCCAAGATCATACGGCTTCTAAGTAGCAGAGATGGGATTCACATCCATGTCTGACAAACTCTAGTTTCAAGTTCTCAACCATTCAGCCATCTGATTTCTCACAATTCCCGAACTTCTTGCCCTTCAGCTGCTGACTTCCCTCAGCCTCAGCCCCTATTTCTAGTCCACAGTGGTCCCTCATTATTCAGGCCCAGAATCACCCAGTCTCCTCTCCTAAAGTCTCTGTTTTCTTCCTTCAAACCTCTGGCAATTGGCTGGACCTCCACCCTATCTCCTCTGAATTTCCCCATCCCCCTCAATGCTACTCCAGGTCCTGGGGTCCCTGTAGCTTGACCCAGGCCAGCCCAGAGGAACCCCACTTCCAGCCTCACCCTCCATGCCACTGCACGCCTGCCTGTCTCTGGGAGTCTGGTCCACACTGTCAGGCTGTCAGAGGCGTGAGGTCCACCTGGGCTGGGGATCAGTTCTGCGTACTGGTTAAAGTGTCACCAGTGTTTCCCCTGACACTGGAAGCCCTGTGCCTCAGGGGTCAGAGTCCAGGAACCACGGGAGTGCCCCATGGCTCCCATGCTGCAGGCTCCCCTCTGCTCCACCCCGTGGCCTCATGCTGCAGGCTCCCCTCTGCTCCACCCCGTGGCCTCATGCTGCAGGCTCCCCTCTGCTCCACCCCGTGGCCTCATGCTGCAGGCTCCCCTCTGCTCCGCCCCATGGCCCCATGCTGCAGGCTCCCCTCTGCCCTGTCTATAAGGGCTAGGAGAAGAGGCCCAGACCAGGGTCTACAACTTAACATGGGAGAACTCAGATGAACAGAGATCTTCCTCAAATGCCTCCTAGCCAGGAGCACATATTGATCATTTGTACCCCCCGCCCCCCAACTCCTGATTCCCACCCTATATCCCCTCTATGTTCAATGGCTTCTGTTGCCCCTTCTTACCTCCTGGAGCCCCAGTCAGAATGGACTTTGCTAAGTCCCTTTGGGACTTAGAGATCCGTGACCAAGACTGCTGGAGTCGTTTGCTCCCCTTGGTTGACATGCTTTCAAAGTGTGGGACTGGGGCTGTGGCGACTGTGGAGAGAGGGGGAGAGGATAACAAAACTGCTGGTCTTATCTAAGGGAGCCAGACAAAAGGAAAGGGGCACACCCAGTAGGCTGCTTCTGTCCCCACACAGAGGCCCTCCCCCAGACCTGCTGGCTCTCTGCCCCTGTCTGTTGGCATTTTTCCTCTCTCATCCATTTTTCCTGATAAATTTTCAATCCATTCACATTGTCTGGTCATCAACCTAAATAGAGATTTTTTTTGCCGGTGATGCAGCCCCTTTTTCTTTGTACTTTACTGAAGTTAGTCCTGGGTGAAGCGAGGAAGCAGGGCATTTAGGGGAGAGCCTGGAGCCTGAAGAAAGGGGATGGGGAGCACTTTGCCAGTGTGTGGGGATTCTCTGGAAGGACTGTGATAGCCTGACCATCATCATAACATTGGCTCCCATGCTCATTGACCGCTCTTCAATATTTATTGGGCACCTGCTGTGTGCCAGGTCCTGAGGATACAGTGGTGAGCAAAACAGATGGGACGTTTTCCCTTCTATGGAATTTACAGTGTGGTGGGGAGAGAGACTATAAACAAGTATCAAACAAATAAATCTATAACTACAAACTTTGTAAGTGCTATTAAGGAATCGATCAAGGAGCTGGAACAGAGAAGCCATTGGGAAGAATGGAAGGGAATATATTTTAGACGACGTGGTTGGGGAAGCCCTCTTTGAAGTGATCATATTTAAGTGGAGATTTCAAGGATGAAAAGGAACCAGTGGGGACAATTGGAAGCAAGGAGTTTTCCATGGGCTTGGAAATAATGCATGCCGAGGCTCTGAGGAAGAGAAAAGCCCAGTGGTAAGGAGAAGGAAAGCTGCCATGAGACCATGTGCCCGGAGTAGAGGGGCCTGGTCTGTGGAGAAATTGGAGACTGAAGTAGGGCCATGCAGGACAGTGGGTTTGCCCAGGGAAGTGACAGCCAACTGATGCTTTTGAGCCCTGTGGCTGGCGGTGGAGGGTGAGAGTAAGTGCAGGGAGACTGATGAGAGGTTTCAGGAGTAATCTGGGTGGGAGGTTGATGGACTAGCACAGTGGCAGTGGAGAGAGGGAGGCGGATTTGAGATGTATTTGGAGAAGAGCAGACAGAGTGGAAGGACAGAGAGAAGTGGGGAGACGGAGAGGGAAGCTTCCATCCCCTGAATGGGGATGGCACTGAGGAGTCTGGCTTGAGCAGTTGGGCAGATGGTGCTGCTGCTCAGTGAGACTAGGGAAGAAATAGGTTTGCAGGGGGGATGGGGGACATTCAAGGGTTCAGCGTTAGACAGGCTAAGTTTGAGATGCTAACTAATCATTAAAATCAATAGGCAGACAGTAGGACCTGTTCATCGAGCATTTACCATATGCTGGAGCAGCATTCAATGCCTCATGTGCAGCCTCTGCTTTATCACCACGACAACCTAGAAGGAAGTTTGGCCTAATAGCCTGTTTTACAGCTGAGGGAACTGAGGCCAGCAGGGTGTGTGGGCATCTTCTGTTGCCACTCCAGATCCTTTCTCTACCCTTCTCCAATCTGCTTTGGGGCCAGGAGGCTGAAGGCCTTGCCCCACAGCCTCTGTAGGGCTTGGCCAGTGGAGACGGGCACCAATAGGAGATGAGACGGAGGAGAGGAAGGCTGGGCATTTGCCTGCCCCCTCCCCCGTCAGGTTGCTGTAGGCCCCAGCTCCTGCCTGGGGGCCCTCTCCAGATTCTAGGAACCATTCTCTCTCCATCCCCTGGGATCCCAAGGGTGGTAACTAAGCCCACTGTTCCTAGATCTGGAGTAAGGCCCCATCCCTTGCGGTTTAGTAACACCCTGCCCGCACCTTTGAATAGAATCCTGTTATGAAACACTCCTCAAATGATCTCATTTAAGAGAGCCCTCAGTTTCCTGACAAGCCCTGCCTGAGACGCTTGTCTGGGGCTAAAAATCTTGGTGGTGGTGGAGCTGGGATTTGGGCCCAGAGAGTGTGGTTCCAGAGCTTGAGCTGTAACCACCAAGCTCTATTCCTTCCTTCTCAGGACTGTTTCAGTGGAAGAGAAGGGGAGAAGCCTCAGGCTCTGCTTGGAAAAGAAAGAGGTTAGGTTAGACAATAGGAAGGACTTCCCAAGGTAGAATGAGCTTGGGGTCCTAGGCTCTATGAATAAAAGTTGTAACCAGAAGGAACAAACTTCAGAGACTAGGGACTCAGGCATGGGGGTCGGAGAGGGACACGAGATGTTTAAGTTTGGCCTGGCAATTTTGAACTGACTCCAGGACCAGTTGGGTGAACAAGAATCCCAGAATCCCAAGTGGCCAACAGGAGGTGGAGGTTGGTGCCCCAGAGCAGCCCCTGTCCTAGCCAGCCAGGGACAGAAACTGACCAGAAATCAGGTCAAAGAGGAAGAGCAGTCTGGCTGACCCTGGGTCAGTGAGTGACCACGTGAGAGACGGTCTGCCCTTTGTCACAGGGTCAGGCGGCCCTGAGCAGGAGGCCTATGGGTGAGAAAACCGGGAGAGGGACAACAGGCTTCCAGGATCCAGACAGGACGAGAGTGTTCAGCTTTGTCAGGCGAGATCCCTCCCCAGCCCGGCAGATGCACACACTCCCAACCCTCCCGCACATACAGGGCCGCTCGCGGGACGTCGAACACACAAAGACACAGACGCAAGCGTGGGTCGAGCCCCCACCGTGTGTTCTGTCCCATGCCGGACTCCGAGGGTGTGAGGTCACCAAGGTCGGGTCCCTGCTCAGACTGGGGAGAGACAGGACGGCCAGCAGTTAGGTTTAATAGAGTGTGTTGTGAGGGGGATGGAGTTGTGTTCAGGATACAGAGGGGCGCCAGGAGAGACTGAGCATTGTGCGTGAGGGACGAGGTCAGTGTGGCTTCACAGAGGCGGTGACACCAGAGCTGAACTGAGTCAAGGACACGGAGACTGCCCAGTGCTGGGACATGTGTACATGCACATTTGCACCCACATGTGCGTGCACACACACACTCCAGTTCCACCCATGCACACACATCCCCTAACCCTAACACGAATACAGAGTCCACACTCACACCACAAGCACACACTCATACAACACACTCACACAATTAGACATAGACACTCCGGAACTTCACACACTTTTTCTCACAGAGACACACACTCATGCACACACACGCACACAAAGTCCAGGCTCCGTCCCCCTTCTTAAGGCCACTGTATTCTGCAAGCCAGGGACCACCCTTCCCGCCTCGCACTGGGGAAAGGGCGGCTGGCAGCCCTGCGAGGGGCGCCCGCGGGCCGCTGGCCACAGGGCGAGGGCGGGGCGGCTGCGCGGAGGAGGCGCCGCGGCAGTTTCGTCATCTGCAGACCGAGATAACAAACCTTCGGGAGGAAGTAGTGCGATAATATACGTGGAAGTGCTGTGAGCGCTGCGCGAACAGAGCGCGCGGAATTGTGGTTGTTCTCCCGCGTGGATCGGTGACTCCTCTCTGACTTCAGTAACCAGAATATCGGGGCTGGGCCTCTGCATCTGTCTTTCCAAAAGTGCCATAGAATTTGTTCAAAATGTATTTACATTTATTTGAACAGATATTTGCATAATATACAAAATTCAGAGGTACAGACTGTGGGTGAAGAGTTTCTCCCTTCCCAGCTTCATCCTGCTTCCCAGACACTCAGTTCCCCCCAGCACGGGACTGAATTTTCTGTGTGTTCTCCCAGCAATAGACAATGCAGACACAAGCAATATATAACCCTTCCCTTTTGAGGCAAATGTCAGCAGGTACTATACACACCTTCTGTACCCCACCCACCCCCGCTTTTCTATTCCACTTAGAGTAGATCTTGGACTCTGCATGTGAAGAGAGGCCTCGATTTTCCTCACAACTTTTGTAACGGACCCCCTGAAATCCATGTATGGAACCCTTCACTTGCAGGGGAGGAAACCAGCCAGAGAGGAGCCGGAGGGAGAGGCCAGTCTGGGCCCAGGTCTCTTTTTCTTTTTTTAAAAATTGTGGTAAAATATACATACGATAAAATTTACCATTTTAACCATTTTCAAATGTACAAGTCAGTGGCATTAAGTACATTCACAGTGTTGGGCAACCATCACCACTATCTAAGTGAAATAAGCCAGTCACAAAAGACAAATTCTGTGTGAGTCTACTTAGATGAGGCACCTAGAGTAGACAAATTCTTAGAGACACAAAGTAGAACAGAGGTTGCCAGCGGCTGAGGGTGGGGAGGGGGCACTGGGGAGTTACTGTTTAATGGCTATAGAGTTTCTGGAAATATAAGAGCTCTGGAAATAGATAGTGGTGGGCTTTCTTGTCTCCTTCTGTTCAGTTAAATTTAAAATACTCATCAATAGCTACCAAAGCCATTAGATCTGGCACCACTAGAAGTGGACAACCGGGCCTGTGTGCCCCGATACCGTGCCACAGGAAGGACATGCCTCAGAAGAATTCGGATGCTAATGAAGCCTCAAACCTAACGACTGATTTACAGGAAACACAGGGAATAGATAAATGATTAAATGAAAACTGAGGATGCAATCAGCCAAATCCAGAATACGGGCAGTTCTATAAAAATTGCCCTAGTTTCGTCAGCAATGAAATAGCATGAAAAAAAGGGGGAAGGAGGAACTGTTTATTTAAAAATTATTTAAGACACGTACCAACCAAATGCAATGTGTGGACCTGAATGAGATTCTGATTTGAACAAACCAATTGCAAAATACATTTTTAAGACAATCCAGGAAACTTGAACATGGATTGGACATTAGATAATATTAAAGAATTACTGTTAATTTTGTGTGTTGTGTTGAAAAAATTCCTTGTCTATTAAAGATATATCCTGAGATATTTATGGGTGTAGTGATATTGATGTTGGGGGTTTGATTGAAAATATTCCAGCAAAGGGGCTGGCCCAGTGGCATAGTGATTAAGTTCCTGGGCTCCACTTCGGCGGCCCAGAGTTCGCAGGTTGTGATCCCGGGCATGGACCCAGCACCGCTCATCAA